AGAAGAAGAAGGAGGAGGAGGAGGAGGAGGAGGAGGGGCAGGAGGAGGGGGAGGAGGAGGAGGAAGAGTAGGAGGAGGAAGAGGGTGAGAAGGAGGAGGATAAGGAGAAAAAAGATGGAGGAAGAGGAGGAGGACTATATTATTGCTACCAACATACTATCAGCTGCTGCCATTTCAGTGCTACGGAGTCAATTCGGGCAAAAACAGCAGTCACAAAGTTAAACCTTTAATAGAAGTAGAAGAAGCAGAACACAGCAATGGGTATATTAATTACATTTAAAGTAGAAGAACAGGAGGTTGGAAGGGTAAGGGAGAGCAGCTACAGCAACAACGACAAAAACAACAACTACAACAACAACAAAAACAACAGTAGTAGCAGCAGCAGCAGTAGGCCTTTAGAATTTATGACCGTGTCTGACACGGTACTATTGGCACTGGGTGGCCATTCAAAGGCCTGGAAAAAAGTAATACTAAGAAAGAAATGAAAGCAGAAAGCCACACAAAAGCTCTGTTACCTCAGCAATGGTTTGGGAGAAGTTGCTTACATAATGATATATATCATTATTATACAAAAAGACTTTGTGAGTACCAAAGAATGCGCCAGCTTTCTCCAAGGTGCGTAGCTTGACAACTACTACTTTATTGAGTTTTCTCGACAATAGAAGAGCATGTCTGTCTCTCTCTGTGTCCTGTGGCTACAACAAGGCAATACGACAAAAGTTACCATTGTTTTGAAAAACTCTACAATAATCGAATTTGGCTTGATCGCTTTCAAAACTTCTTACTGAGGCAAAGTTTCATGGTAATTGTGGTAGCATCGTGGTACGACGGGCTTCAACTCCAGTAGATGTTTATACTGGTTGGGAGTTAACTTCAATCTGTCTTTGCAGAGAGGTCCAGCAGCAACAGTCGTACACATGGTGTTCAGCTTTCTTGGTCCTTGCAGCGCCTGCCATCCATCATCAAAGTTCAGCTTGTACTGAAATTTAAAGACTGGAGTGTACTTTGATGCCTGCAAGTCAGTGACAGTAGGATCGCCTGCTTTTCTCCCTGGACGGATTGTTTAGTGCTCTCCAACCTTTGCGAAATCTTTGAAAAAGCTGTGGTCCAGGTACATAACTTCATAGGGCCTGGGGATGCGTCTGGCTTTGAGCATGATGTTCACGTAGTCCATTGGGATGTACATCAGTACGTTTTTTAGCGATCGTTCAATAGTGCCAGGGACTGAATCCACTTCCATTTGAGTACGGCCCTTGATGAGAATTTCTGCTCAACTGTGATGTCAAGCTCTTTGGCCAGTGAGGCCATTGCACTCACCAGGGTGGCTTTCTGTTTTAGTAGTTGCGCCAATCACTGCAGATGATGAAGTGGTTGAAGTCAGTCACTTGCAATATCAGTTAGTGAGTCAGACATGATGAAAACTGTTGAAGCCCAGACCAACTTCACTTTCATACCAGACATATCATCTGGCGTCTCTGGTGGCAAGATCTTAAGTCGTAACATTGTGTACAGCCAGTTTTGTTTCATATAAGGTGGAAGTCTTTAGGGATGGGGCCAGAAGGACGTACTGGATCTCCAAACAAATGACACACATAGCCTCCCTGTCTGTCTCCTTCTCTGGTCTAGCTGCAGCTTTCCTCATATTCATATTTGAGCTGTGTGTTCTGTTTCTGTGAGGTCTCCAGATTTGAACTTTGTACAAATGTCGCACTGGTCTTTCTTGGTTGAAAGTAAACCCAAATTGTTTTTCTTGAACATTTGCCAGAACACTTGATAGCTCAATGTGGCTTTCACCCTCTCTGCAAAGTTCTCCATGTATACTTGATGCAGATCTGACGTTTTCAGGATTGTCACCTGTAGACAGGAGGATATCTTCGAAAATTTGTCAAAAAATTCCTCTTTATGGAACAACTTGTCATCCTTGGCTCTCTCATGGTGGGCGTGATGTGTTCTAGGGGGGTGGACCTCTTGGGTTGTTTTTTTTGGAGAAGACACTTTAAATAAACCAGTGGGTCAGGCCTGTGGTGTTCTTGAAGATTGTTTTACAAACATGTGTTCTTTGACCATTGACTCTTGTAAGTGGTATTGAAGGCTGTAATTTCTCCTTGGGTTTCCCTTGCTGTGTAAGATCTCTTTTTGTCTATCATGTTTATCGTGGCATATACGTAGGCTTTCTTTTCTTTCCAAGAGAGTGACCAGTGATGTCATTGCATCTTGTACCAACCAGTTTACAACTGCAAAGGACGTCAAGTTCACATCCTG